GCCCCCCCCGGGCCTTCCCCGGCTGCAGGGCCCCCAGACCCGCTCTGCAGGCGGTCACTGGTTCCCCTCTGCCTGTCCCCGGGTGCGAGGGGCAGGAGGGGTGGGCAGGGGCGGCCCTGGACCTTTTTGCTCAGTCTGGCCCTGGGAAGGGGTTTAACATCCTCCCAGGATGCCCCCCTCGTCTTTAAATACTCCCTCCCAGTCTCCCCTCCTGCTACCGAGGGGAGAACTGGTCCAGACTTGCCGCCAGCAAGCCCCCAAGCCTGGTGGACTTGGTCCGTAGAGGCAGCAGGAGCAGTGTTTCTGTTACAGGCGCTTGATAAATGGTGAAAATTTTTGGGGTCCCCACCTTGAGGGTCTGCGCTGGAGTTCTGTCTGTGCGGTGGCGTGTGGGGAAGAGGGAGCTGCATCTCTCCCAGTCCCCTTTGCTTTAGGAAAGCCGGCCCTGGGAAGCTCCCCGCTCCTGCGCCCCAAGGGAAGGGAGAGCCCGGAGCATCCCGTTATGTCCCGCGCTGCCCGGAGAAGCCGGGGAAGGAGCACCCTTGGTTATTGATGCCTCTGAGGGCTTCTGCTGTCCTACCTCTGCATTTCTATCTTGGGAAGGAAGGGAGCTTGTTTATCCTGCAGCTGTACGAAGCAGGGGGCGGGGGGGGGGCATGCCTGCCTTTGGATCACGGCGTTATCTCTGCGAGTCTCCCAGTAAAGCTGCCCAAGCCCGCAGGCGGGGAGATGAAGGTATTTGATCGGATTAGAGGTTCTGAGATGAGCTGAAAGGGGCAGGCAGCTGCGGGAGGCAAGTAGCGGCATCCTGACGTGAAAACTCCTTTCTTAGTGTCATCTGTGCCTCTTTGACAGCTTTCTCCGCTACGCCTGAGACTCAGGGGCAGCGCTAGCACAGTAACTGCTTTGTGTGGGGCCGGGCAGAGGACATCTGCTCTCCCCTCCCTTCTTGCCTAGTCACTCTTTCTTGGTTGAATGTGCCCTGGGGCTTTCCAAGTTGTTATTTTAGCAGCGTACTTCTGTTGTGTGGGTTACAGTTTGCTGGATGCACAGCAAATACATCTTGCCTGGGTCTACAGTTCACATTTTTTCCCGTGGTTTCTTGTTGCCCGATGGGGGAAAGCAGGATCCAGAGATTCTCCCAGGAAAGGAGCAGCAGCAAGCTCACATCTCTCATTTCGGAGACCTTTTCTGTCCCTCCTCCATCAGGGAGGCGACCGAGGGGCTCGGCAGCAGCGTTGGTCAGGGTTTTGTTGCTTGGTGGCTGCTTTGTTCTGGACAGCTGAGCTTGCGAGTCGAAACAAAAGTTGCTTAATCCTCTCAAACTGCCTCGCAGCGTTACCGAGACTTAGCACTGCCTGCAGACCTCGGGGCTCAAGCAGCTTGCCTGCCTGCGCTCGACTCCGGGCGCTTATCGGTGCTTATAATAGCAAATCCCCCCGCGGAGCGAGGGACGGGAGGGGTCCCTGGCACCGTGCAAAGAGCTGCGTTCCTGAGCCATCTTCACCTGTCCTGCTGCGAGTAACGGAGCTGCCCTGACACGAAGCGCGATCCCGCCGGCCCCCGTCTGTGGAAAACCAGCCCCAGGTCGTAGTACAGCGAGCCCAGGAGCGGGCATCGCCTGCTGAGATGCCTGGTGGCTTGTCACAGCAGCGCCGGTGCTGGAAGGCGTCCTCATCCAAACATCTGGCACACCATGAAGGGCACACGAGTCACCCAGAGACAGCAAAGCTGTGTTGAATCGAAGCCAAATTCCCTCTCAGCTTCATGTGTTGGACCAAACGGGATCGTGTTCACGCTGATTTTGACTCCTGCTTAGCTTGGGGTGTTTCTCCCTGTCGCCTCGATGCTGCTGTTGCAGAGGGTGTCCAGGCTCTGGGGCAGCTGGCAGGTTTTTAAAACGCAATTCTGGGTCTTCAGAAGGGCAAAGAGGTTGCGTACAGGGGCTTGTACCACCGTTTTTGTACCACAGACCCTGTCCTCCCAGTGCTACTCCGGTGTCTTTTGGGCTGGCTCTGGCCATTCCAGAGGTCTCTGCAAAGCAGCAGCGCTTCAGCCCACCGCCCCGTGATAATTTGCAGTGTGCAGTGTCACAGCTGACAGCTGGTGCTGTAGCGATGGCTGGTAATAACGTGGGGGGTTTTCTTATTTTCTTTTAACAGCTGCCCCTTCCTTGCCAGTCACCTCACCTTGGCCATCCCCATCATTGCAGCCGTCCTCTTCTTCTTCGTCATCAGCTGCCTGCTCCAGACAAGCTTCCGAGACCCAGGTATCCTGCCCAGAGCCACCCCAAGTGAGGCCGCAGACCTGGAAAAGCGGATCGGTGAGACTTCTGTTCTGTGTTAGATCCAGCACGTGCCTCTGTGCTTGTGCGTGTGTGCGTGCGCCATTTCGGGCTCAGCGAGTCCCTAGAGAAAAGGCTTGACAGTGCCTTCCGAGTCCCGGTAAGAGAGCTGTGACAAGCTCCTCCAGCGCAGCAGGCAGGGCTTCAGAGAGAGGATCTGTGGAGGAGCAGAGGTTGGTTTTCCTTTCTGTTTTATTCCATCGCTTTCCCAGGCAAAGCCCTGTACCTGTTGGGGCCGTACCTGACACCCGAGCGGGCAGCGGTCCTGTGCAGAGCTCAGGGAAAGCCGAGCTCGTGGCATCGCTGTCCTAAACGTGAATATTGTTAGGGACTGCGGACCAGCAGCTGGGGGAGCACGAAGTCCCCCTTCAGAATCACGCTGCCAGGCTCTTGAAGACGGAGCCAGAGAGTCTGTGCCGCTCCGGAACGGTGTGTTAGTTACTTTAAATGCTGTCCAAACTGACCCCGTGTGTTCTCCAAAATACGGGCGGTGAGGATGTTTTAATTTAGGAACGAATGTTTTTTAAGATTATGATTTGCCATTGAAACTGCCATGCCGCAAGATTCTCTCTCTGTTGTAATGGTTTCCAACGGTATGCTAATGTTTGTCCCCATCTAAAAACTGCCACGTCACGCTGTTTTGGTGGTGGCCAAGAAGGTGCACACAGCCAGGATCCGTGGACCTCGTTGGTGTGACCCGTAGTAACAAATGTGTTAGCAAAGCTACCATGGGACAACTCAAAGACAGTTGCAAGGCAGTGCAACTTGCAATTCTACATCTGACTAAAAAAATGGTTTTAAAATGTCCTCAAAGTGGTTATCTGTCTTTCTATTTATAAGAGCCTAAGGCAGTAATCTGGCTGCAGATGCTGCCTGATGTGCCAGCTGTTACTGTTAATATAATCCACTTCTTATCCTCTTAACGTGCTCCCTGTTACATCTCTATTTTCAAAGACTTGGCCGGAGTTGGAAAGGTGCTCTTTGAAGAGTGAATTAAATCAAGGAATAACTCCTCAAATTGCAAATGTGACAGAGGTTTTCCAGCTCATGCTTTCGCTGAGCAGAGAAACAGTCTCCAGCGGCCAGCCCCTAATGAATAATAAAGTGCCGGCACACACTCATGCGACTTGCCGTGTCCCTAAAAATCCTTGATTTTCACCTTAAGGAGGAGGAATCCTCTTGCGCTACCAATATTCACGTGTCAAATTTCAATGAAATGTGCTTGGCACGCTCGAGACCTGCTCACCGTCCTCCCCTGCTGCGATGGAAATGAGTCCCTCGAGCCTGGCGGCACCGCTGGCTCCAGCTGCGGGTTGGGAAGTTGCGTGCTGGCAGCGGCCGGGAATGCTCCCGCTGAGGTTACCCGAACGTGACCCTCTCCTGATTGCTGTAACTTGGATGCGTACAGCGGAGGTGGAATCGCACATGCATTAACAGATTATGTTGCCTCCACGCATTGTGACCCGTTAGACGCGCAGAGATGAGTTGGGCACGTTGATGCCGCTGCTTTTATGCTTGCTATTTATACATTGCTTTATGCTCTCAAACTGTTGGGCAGATATTGCTTCCTCTTGGCATCCCAGCAGCGTTGCCATTGAATGGGCGAGGAAAGGACATAAATAATGCTGCGAGGAGCTGCCTGGAGTTCCTGGCTGTCCACCCTGCAACAAATCCTCTAGGCTGAGCTGCCTCTTAGGTTTTGTTTAAAACCTCTTAACCCTGCCAGGAAGCAGCTCAGGGTGGTGGGGGTGGGGAGGGGGCTTGCACCAGTTTGACTGTCCCTCCTTGCCCTTCCAGACAGCATGGGTACCTCTACCTATCGCCCGCCGGCCCGCACGATGGAAGTGGTCATAAACAAGTATGTGGTGAAACTCAAGTACTGCTACACCTGCAAAATGTTCCGCCCTCCACGCACCTCTCACTGCAGCGTCTGCGACAACTGTGTCGGTAAGCCCAGGAGGTGGAGAGGTGTTGAGCTCTCTTGTGTGGGCATCTTGGGGGGGGGGTAGTTTTATGGTTCTGGACAGATTGCTTTTGCTTCTTGTAAAGCGTTATAAAGCGCGATACTGAGTGGTCTTTCTTCTTCCTGCTTAAAATGAAAGCAGCGCTAGCGCCGTGGCTCAGGGCAAGGGCCAGCATGTCCAAGACTCCGTCTCTCTGCTTTCCCTGGTTCTGGGAGGACTCTACCATGAAACACGGTTAAGGCCCCTGCCAAACACAAGGTTTGCTACAGGCTCCTTGTTGTCTGTGGCCTTGCTGTTGCCAGGCTGGTAGAGACACCACCATGGATGCTGGTTGAGTTCTTCTGTGTCCTCTCCCCGTGCCATCAGACTGTGGCGGGGCAGGAGGGAATGAACAAAAACCTGAAGAAAAGTCTCTGGTGGCTCCACGCAGGCGTGGGGCAGCTGCAGTGGGGTGGGCGGGGAGGTTCTCGGCACAGCCTGGCTGCACCAGAGCAACTTCAACTGGCAGCAGGGTGGCATGTGATTTAGGGACGTGCCCAGAGAGTTTACTCCTCATGCAGCTGCTCCTGGTCACGCACCGTGTGGATGCGGAGGCTGGGCTTTATGCTGTCTGCCAGGGCAGCCCCAGGAGCCACCGAGCCACAAGCAGTCGTGGGACCCTAAGGCTCTGGTTAAGAGAAGAAGTTTGAAAGTTGCCAAGCGTTCCGTGGGTGGCCGTGACTCCTTACGCCGGAGCGGCTCGCTGGAAAGCAGCCACGGCTGGGGGGGTGTTGGGAGAGGAGCTGCCTGGAGGAGCGGGCATGCGCCTGCTCTGTGTGCGATGGGTTTCGTTTGCGCTGATGTCCCCCGCAGGCCAGTTACCGCAGTCCTGTTAGTCTGAAATGCAGCCCTTTCATTAGAAGGCAGTCGGGAGTATTTCCAGATATATTGCACCTGCCCTGGGTTCCCAGGCAGTTTCTGTGGTTTTAGAGGCATATCTTTATAGCTTTGAAAATTATTTTCTACCCCGCAGAAGGCGGGGGGAGCTGACATGCAGAAAGGGAGCAGCGATGCTGCGTGCCCACACCCAGTGCTGCTAGGTACTGGAAAAACTGCCGCACTTTCCCTGCTCGCTTTCGGTTTTAGTAGATGTTACCAGTCACAAGGCTTGTATTTATGCAGGGCTTGGTGAGAAGAAGGGTTTGGTCTTTGATGATAAAAAGGGCCATGTGAGCAGGCAGCAGTGCTGTGTTGAAACTTCTTGCTAACGTATTGCTGCGGAGAGGTTCTGGTCTCAGGGTGGTGGGTGGAAGCTCCATTTGTAGCCCCTGGTTTTCGGAGGCTCAGCAGGGTTTGCTCTGTGACAGGGTGCGAGGTGACAGGAGTCCTCACCGTGTCCCTTTTGTTTCAGAGAGGTTTGATCACCACTGCCCCTGGGTGGGCAACTGCGTGGGGAAGCGCAACTATCGCTACTTCTATGCCTTCATCCTCTCCCTCTCCTTCCTGACAGCCTTCATCTTCGCTTGTGTCGTCACCCACCTCACTCTCCGTAAGTACCGCGGGTACTGGCAGCGATGTGCGCTGTGCTCCTGGCCATGAACGGCTTGAAGCAGCACTGGGTCACTGTTCCTGTTGGACAGAGCGTGGGAAGGGTCTGGCTGGTTTACATCAGGCTTCCCAGTGCAGGCAGCCTGAATAAATGGGGTCTCAGGCTGCAGGGAAGCGCAGATCCACCCCGCACCTTGCTGCAGGGAGACCTTGAGAGCTGGTGACTGGGTTATCCCCTCCCAGAGGCCTGATGGGTGCCTCTGCTCTTAACCTGGTGGGGAAGGTGACTTGCCTGTCAGCCCCAAATCTTCTGGAGCTGTGTCTGCACACTGACATTTCTGCAGAGTTACAGACTGCAAATGTTCTCGGGCAGCCAGGCAGATCTGTGTGGCCTACAGAGGGGTGGCTGCGTGCGAAGTGTTGGCGGGAGGTGCAAGTCTGCCTGACGCGATGCCGTCCCTTCTCCTGTTTTGCTTTGCAGGCTCTCAGAGAGATGGATTCCTCACCACTCTGAAGACAACACCTGCAAGATATCCTTTTGATGCCATCGGCTGCTCGGGCTGTCGAGCACTGGTGCAGCAATGCTAATTGTGTAACAGAAGCGCGATGAGCTCTTTGTAGGGTCACCTTCGTGTACGTTCTACAACTTAATTTAGTCCCCTGGGTACCTGGGTGGGGCAGACCAGCATCTCTTCATCTGTAGGCTGATAACATCACCAAACTGGGAAGACCTTTGATTCCTTATGTAGTTCACTGACAGGGACTAAGGGCGGGTGACAAACTGGTTTCCCAGTTTGCAAGTTTACATGGAAAGGGCACAGGCTGTGCCTTGGTGGGTGCCTGCAGAGCGCCATGGGGAGTGGGAAGCTTGCTGGGATGTTTTCATGGCCCAGTGTGTGTGGTCACAGCACATACCTCCCAAAATAGTCCTCTGCCTCTCTTCGCAGGATAGTTTTGTTCCCTGAGATTTCCTTGACTTTTGTTTCACCGTGCTGGAGCTGGTGATTTGTTTTTTCTCAGTCTGGTCTATTTTGGGCCTCTCAGGTTTTCATACTTACTTAGTCGCCTCCAACCTGACGACAAACGAAGATGTAAGTACCTGGACACTTGTCCTTCTGCAAGGGCTGGCCCTGGTCCTCTCTAAGCAGAGGTGAGGCTTTAGGGGATCCTTGGCTGCCTGCCTCGGTGCAGTATCTCAGTAAGGCATGCTGCCTGCATTGCCTGCAGTAATCCCCTGCAAAGCAGACGGCTCGTGCCCAAGGCTTTTAGGCTGTAGTTTCAGGTGGCCGGGGAGGGGGGGAAGCAGCCCGCAGCAGCAGGGGACTGTGCAACGTGTGCTGCTCAGCAGTGTCAGGCTGTGGGGGTCACGCGCTGCCACGTTAGAAAGGTCACGTGTGTGTTTTTTCCAGTCTGTATGTGGCCTCGCTTAAAATTAGGAGTTCCGAGGTTAAAAAAGGAAGGCTGGCCCCAGAGATTTATTTGGGTGTTAGCCTAGGACATGGGTGATCTTAATTCAGCGTCCCGCATAACCACAGGTTTCCCCTGAGACCCTGGGCAAGTCCCTTTGTCTCTATCAGTTCCTCATGTCTAATAGGCAAATAATGTACAGACATCTCCTGATGAGATTTACCTCAAAGTCAGGGGTGTGTGCAGACTCCAAGGGCCAAATGAGTACCCTGAGCAGGGCAGATTGTATGGAAAAGCAGGATCTGTCTGATCCTCGGAATCAAGATTCACCCTCCTGGCCAGAAGTACCTGTAATCCTTGCTGGAAGCTTCCAGCACTGCAGAAGGCAGGTTTGCATCCCTTGTTTTTTCCTGCTTTTTTCCTTCCCCTTTCCTCCTTTCTGTGGTGTTCAGAGGTGTTGGCAGAGACGCTCAAGGCCACGTAGGTGAAGCTAATGGAGGTCACACCCCACTACCGAGAGCACTGGGTCCAAAGCGTGTGGCCCGTTGCCTCTATGGCCACGTTGCCCACGTTGCCAGCCTTCTGCTGCAACTGGGGAGAGGAAGTAAAAACAAAAGGAGGAAATGTGGTGGTAAATGGTTTGCTGCAGCCAGGGGCCTGAGGCCAGGTATAGCATCTGCCCACTCGTGTGTGCCTATGCTTAATGCGACCGGGGTTTCGAAATCAGAGTCAGTGACAGCTGCTCAGGGTGGGGACAGATGAGATTGTTTCCTCCTCTTGTGTGGCCTGGGAATCCCCTTGCTGTTTGTTCAGCCTGAGGAGCCCAGGAGGGACCGTGAGCTAGAGCCCTGCTCCGATGAGCTTGCAGCCTAGTAGAGAACGCGGGGAGGGGGAGGAGGAGGAGGCTGGCGCTGAAGATGGCGACGCTGGCAAGTTGCCATGCGGCACGGGGAGGGCACAGCTTTGGAGCTTCCTAGCTGCAAGGTTGAACCTTGGCAGAGGCAGGAGCAGCATATTGCTGTCTCCTCTGGCTGCCTTTCTACAGCGGTCCTGTCTGTTAAAGCAAGGAGAGGGAGGGCGTTTGCAGTAAGACAAGCCTTCCGCCTCCTGAGCAAGGGCTTGAACCGAGTCCGTTACCATGTAATTATCTGCTATCACATCTTTCCTATCTTAATCTGTGTGTATCCTTTCCCTTTCAGATCAAAGGGTCCTGGTCAAATAAGAGGGGCTCGGAGTTTGCCAATCCCTACAGCCATAAAAGTATCCTCACGAACTGCTGTGCGGTGCTGTGTGGACCATTCCATCCCAGGTAAGAGCCTTGGACCTCCATGGTGTTGGGAATTGCATCCTGCTCTGCAGCTGGGGCCTTGGAAAGGACAGATTTATCCCGATCCAGGACAGACGGTGTCAGGAAAGGACAGATTTATCCCGATCCAGGACAGACGGTGTCAGCACAAACACATCTGCTCCCATGATGATGGGGAAGAAGTTTCCCAGTCTCTGCAGAGAGCGGCTGGGGAAATGTAGAAGAGATAAAACTGTTGCTTCTCCTGTGTTTGGGCTTGGCGGGTTCGGGTCGCTTGTAATTGTTTCATGGAGCTCACAGATAAGACCCCTCCTGCGATTCAATTAGGGGAGAGTAACGGCACCAAGGGGCTCGGCAGCAGATGATAAATGCCGGTAGTGGCCATGCTTCTTAGTACATGTTTTTCCTCCTGTACTCTGAGGATCGAGCATCGTGGCAAGCAGCCAGCGGAGAACCGCACCAGGCAGCGTGGAGACCCTGGGGTTTACCAACACTTAGATTGCCCAGAATGCTTAGTAGCATCCTACCATCTTACCTGTGAGTTAACCAGAACCGATGTTAAAACCAGGATTATCGCTGCTTTGTCACAAGAGGGTGCACTTGGGCAGAGTCAGGCTGGCGTCCCCTTGCGCTGCGCTGCAGGAGTGGAAGATCTGCAGGCTGGCTTGGAGCTCAGCCTGTCCTAGGGCATGTGAGCATCCCTGAGACAAGTTTATTCGCTGGATCCAATCTGGATTTATGCGGAGCGTCTCAGAGGTGCTAACTGGGTGGAACACACCAGCAGGGGAGGGGGCCTGGGGCTGTGCAGCTGGAGTCAAAGTGTGTTTTACGCTTATGTCTGGCCCTGCTCTCTGAAGTACCCCCAAGATTTTTGTGGAATTCAGAGATGCCCAAATGCCAATGCTGCCACTTGGAGATGGTAAATCTGTGGATCCGGGGAGCCGAGCTGTTTGCTGGGAGGTTTTACTCCAATTCTTTCCTCATTCGTGCTGTTCTCCTGCTGTGAAGACCTTGTGCCAGTTCCCATTTGGGTTTGTGGTGACCCAAAGGCTGTTTGGTGGCTTGTGTGATAAGTTTGTGGTTTGTCTAATGGGCAGGAAGCTGTGTTATCCAGTGCGCTCCTGCCGATGCTTGGGTTAGCAGTTCCCACCAGGAGATCCCTCTCTGTGGCCTGTGAGCTCCCTCTTCACGGAGTCTTCATTTCCTTAACTCCTCTCTCCTTGCACCCTTCCCTTTCTCTTTTCCAGTTTGATAGACAGAAGAGGATTTATCCAGCCAGATGTCGGGACCCCGTCCAGTCCTAAGAGCGAAATCCCTTCCTTTGGAGCTAAAACTGACACCAGCATGGTAGGAGGCATTCCCTAGCAGTGCTGTGACATAGCCCAGTGCCTGCACCTCGCTCCAGCCAGTACCTTCCCCTCTCACCATCTCCCCGGCCTCAGGCGGAGCAGCCCTGTGATGCAGAGCTGCCAAAGACTCAGTTGAGCCATACGTTGCCTTTTTTTTCTCTTTTTTTCTTTTTTTTTTTTTTTTTTAATTTATTTATTATTTTTTTTGCTATTTGTTTCACTGTGATGTGGCCTGTCTGGACTTTCAACTGACAGAGCCCAACAGCATGCAAGACCCTGAGATTCATGCAGAAAGCAGGGGGGTCCCTGCTGCACCTTGGGAAGCAAATGGGTCTGGGGAGCCACCAGACCTCTGAGCCCGGAGCGTCCGCTCCAGGGGGTTGCTGGGCTTCCTGCCGGGAGTAATGAGATGGGCCAAGAGTGGGAGGTGGGACTGGAACGGTCCCCAGCTGGGCCGTCACGCCTCATCTTCTGGGCTGGTGGAGGCGTAAGTTCCCTGGTATCCTGCTTATCTCAATGAACATGTCCTGCTCCCCTGTGCCGACGTGGAAGGGCTGTTCTGTCTCTTAATGGCCAGGTTCTCAGCTCAGTCTCTGCCAGAGCAGCTTTTCTTTTCCAGAAGCTGCTGTGCCTTGGTATGTTGGGGCTGTTCAGCTGGGATGACTGGCTGCCAGCAGGCGTGGAAGCTAGCTAGATGTCCCAGCTGCTGTCGATCCCATTTTCTGGCTGGTCACTGAGGGGGTGCTGAAGATCTCTTTGTGTTTCGGCCCTGCCAGTCAGTAAGACAACTTTTTGCAGCAAGGATACAAGTTAGGAGGACCCTCCTTTTAACGGGGAAGAAGAAACATGCAGTGTTCTGTGGCTCTCGTCATGAGATGCTGGTTGGCGAGGCTACAGTTGTAAGATTTGGGAACTTTAGCTCGCCAGGGAAGCTTGGTTATGTCCTGTCTGTAGGAGACCAAAAGGCAACGGAAAAGCCTCACCCTTCCCAGGTGGAGTTTCACAGAGGAAGCAGTGAGCGGGTGCTGGTCTCAGATAACCTCGTGTTGTGCTCTTGGTTTGGGTTTCTGGCCAGCAGACGAGAGCAGGGCTGTCCTCAGCGCCTCAGGAGTGATTCCCATGTGCCTGGGCTCATCCGTGAGCATCGCCCCGTGCCTGTAATGGAAGGGGAGAGCCGGGCTGGGCAGCCAGCTCTGCGTCACTGACACTGGAGTGTGCGTAGGGGAGTCACAGACCTTGTTAGCAATACTTGAATCATGTTATTAAAAGCTGCTGGATATTTTTGCACAATTTGTAGGTTTGGGGTTTTTTTTCTAGGTAGAACTTTTTATATTCGGCGCAGGTAGCATTGTGCATTCGCACCAGGGCAGAGGCTCGCAGCGTTCCGTGTCACGCTGCCCGGTTAGGTTTCCGTGGGTCAGATGCATTCATTTCAACCTCAGGCAGAGGCAGCACACTTGGGGGGGAACCTGTCCCCGCCGAATTCCCCAGCGGTGTGCTTTGCACACTGCGAGCGACCGCGCCAGCCCGCACGCAGCTTTGGGGTGCGCTGGCGGGGGGGTGGGCGGCAGAGGCACGAGGTTCCCCTGGCCTTAACATTTCTGGCTGGCTGCACAGAGATCTCTGCTTGTTTGCTGTGGCCACCATCTCCACCTTCCCCTCCGCAAAGAGCCCAGCTGAGAGCACGGCAGCGGAGGCT